CACAATCAGTAGCGAAGACAGGAGAAGCAGGATAAGTGGTGATGAAACAATCTTTGCCGTCACCATCACCCAGACAGAAAGAGACCATAACAACGGCAGCACCTCCGACATGGTTCATTTCCGACAAGGTGTGCTACACCTTGTCGTCAAGTTCTCACATAGGTGACCAGCCCGAGTCAAATGATGTGGTTAGTTATGTAACACTCCTTACTGGTCAAAACACGACAGAGCAATCCAGAAAGAGTCGGTTAACTTCTGAACTGAGATTCCTGAGCGTTAAGCTACGGAATCGCAGCGGATCATCAGCTGGCAGCGTCGTGCATCAGCTAGGACAACGAAAGTGGAATCAAAATCTGCCCATGATGCGCCACTCATCGGCTAATGACCGCCATTCCACAAGCCTACGTGTGCTCAGTTATTTTTGAAAAGTTCAAGACATGATAAGGGCGTTATTATATGAGATAATCATGCGGCTTTTACATGGGACTGAAAATATGCCCCAATATACCGTCAACGCGGGCTTGCCAACTTATCGCACTTTAACTGGACCAGCTTCCCAAATAGTCCAACTCCATGGCCACTCATGGCTGTAGAAGAGAACAGAGACCCATACGTGGAGGTTGAAGTGGGATTTGAATTCCCAGATGTCCGATTTATGATCAACGGTGTTTCCGAAGATGTCCAGAGAAATACCGGCTCCGACAACTGACACCGAGTAATCAATGCCCAGTTCACCAGATGCTTTGACATCACCATTGTCCGAAGCATTGACCGCCACTTTACCATGGAGTGTGGCCTTCACCGTAGGAAAAGAAGCCACATGGATTATGACCGCGACCGACATTGCTATTTTTCCCCCGTAAGTGCCATTCCCACCGCTTCCTGCACCAGTAAGACATACTTGAATGCGCAAGCCTGCGAAGCCAATATCAGTAGCCCAAACTAGGGCGCATCCAGCGGCTTCGAAAGCAAAGTGTAGGACCTCCGTCTCCGGCTGCTTCAATTGGACTGTGACATTGAAATGTGCTTTGTTTTCCTTAATGGCTACATCTTCATAAGCCATATATAAGTCGAGAGCCAATAACGTGTCGTTAGAGGCGTAACCAACATACAGGCAGTATGCACTGGCTGAGTTGGTCACACCGCTCCTGCAAGCCGGTGGTAACTCGAAGTCCTCCTGACCTTGAACAGGGGAGTCGTACTTGTACAGGAAGAACTTATGTGCAGCAGTGCCATTGGGGAGGCGGAAGTAATCGATCGGTGCTACCGACTTATCTCCACGAATATGAGTCTTGTTCGACCTCCAGTCGTGGCTCTTCCCATCGTTGAAGAATAGACGAGCCTCTTCGCTAACCAAACGGGTCTTGATGAAATCAACATCCAGTTCTGGAGCCTGTTCCTCCGCTGGTGGCTGATTGTGACTCTTGACGATGTCATACGCCGCGTAAATATCCTTCATGGCAACGTCCAGAGTTAATGCATCGTCGAGCTCTTCCCAATGAGTGACGTTGGACTCGAGGTAGACTGTATCATTCTCGAAGGTGTTAATACCCAAGAGCTTCACCATCTGCTCCTGATCCTTGTCGAGATAGAGAACCCAAGCGTTACTGACCACACCAGTCTGAGCGAGGGCAGTGAAGTTGAGACCCGATTTGGGATCAACACCTTCTACGCCACTTCTGACCCATTTGTTCAGCTTCTGTCCACCTTCATCTACCAAACCTTTATAGACCCAACCATCATCCTCGAGCGTACGATTGGCATTGAGCCTGCGAGAATTGGGCGTATCATTCTTTTGCCTGGTTCCCTCCTCTAGGGGGAATGACTGTTTATTGAAGAGTTGGGAGATGCTGAAGTGAGTGTCGTTCTGGCTCATGAGGATATACAGATACGGGTGATTTGGCGCTGCTTGAACTACCGCTTGACCGTCCTTGGCGATGAAGATGTCTCGATGAACGGTGAACGACTTGTTATCATCCATACCAGGTAGAACCAGCCCTTCAGTCTCCATAGCCTTGGAGGTGTGACATGCCACTGGGTTCCCCTTGATGTCCCTCAGGGCGAGGTTGCAGAAATGCGTCGTCTTCATCTGTATGCGAACGTTGCCCATCTTGAAAGCACAAACCACACCACATATCAATAGGACGACGAGGAGGATGTTCATCATCGGGATGATAAACGCAGCTGCTAACTATTTAGTACAACGCTACTGTGCGACTGGAAGCAGTTGTGCTTTTCAACTCGATGTTCATACCTAACGCGGACAAATAACCTTCGACAATAACTTAATCTACTATTGCAGTTCAGTGAAATCACAAGCTCACTGAACAAATCCATTGTAGCTTACCGAGATGTACGGAGATGCACTCGTGAAACGCGTGAATCAGTTTCACGCGTAGTGTTCCATTCGTGAAGTGCGATTTAGTCACACCACTTTGCTCCATAACGAGCCTGTAATACAAGCCGTGGATATCACGCGAGTCACGGATCAGTCAACTAAATGCGTCAATATAAAACGTTTCAATCCGAGACGTTCATCTCACGGGAAGAAATGCTAGGACCTTGAGCAAAGGTATGGCTACAGTCGAGCCAGCAGAGAGGTATCGACACTCTCAGAGAGGGTTGACTGTAATGAATCATTACGCCTCACTACTTCCTTGTTGAGAAGTGGTAGCTTGTGAGAGGGCCTCCTGCGTAGAGCCTCTACGGTAGAGGGTTTATCACCTTTTGTTACACGCAGAGTTGGACCTTAGGAGAGGGAATGATATGAGCATCCTCAGCCCGGATGGGGGCTAGGAAGAGAGAAGGGTGCGACTGCACGTTCATAGGCCTCCTGTGCTGCCCCGCACAGCGGGGCCCCCAGCGCAGTCGGCCCACCTGTCGACGGAATTCACTTCACTCGCTCGCTGGTTCACCCTGAACACTCTCCCATACTATTGTTGTATGGGTCATTCCCTTCGGGGTTCTCTCGACAACATGTCGGGTTTCGGTGTCCCGTCGGGTTTCGGGTGGGACAAACAGATTGCGTCACTGCGGGCTGTCATCCTTTCTTCGGCACAAAATCTTCTCTGCTCGGCACGGAATTTTTCTCTGTCGGCACAAAATTCTCTCGCGCGGCACTAATCTACTTTGCTTCTTCTCCTGCCCCACCGCGGTTCGGACACGTGAGCGACGAGGTCCATCTACGATTCGGGCTTAGGCATATCTTGAGTGACTTCGATAGAATCGCTAGAATCAGTGTCTGACTGTGAAGTGCTCAAGCCGGTGTCTGACTCTGAAGTGCTCAAGTTGGTGTCCGACTCGGAATCGCTCTCTGGCTCGAGAGAGTTCACTCTGGAGCTTTCGTCTAGCCGCCGAGGATCTGCAACAGCGATATTCCACATTTCATAGCTTGAGCAGCGGATCAGCAATCATTTCCACAATATACTCTTACCTTCTTCATCTTCGCTGGACGTGATATCTTCTTCACTTGCCTCCAGTCAAAGGCTTGATGAGTTTGAATTGCGCCTGAATATCGGTGGTACTTGGTGGGCGTCGTTCGGTAGCGTAGGCGAATGCCAACGGGCAACCCCGTTCAGCGAATTAGTACGACGCTGGGTGTACGATGGTCTCACATCGAGCGCACGGGAACGTCTGAACCTAACAGTAACGCAAACCTCTAGAACCCAACGAGCCGATGACTTCATAATACCCGGCACAGTCTCTAACTGGTGGCCCTCCGAACGGCCTGGCGTCGGTTATATGGTAATATGCAAGGTTTCCTTTCATTAGATGTATACCCAAGTTGTGGCGACAGAATCGGTTACGCACTCCATCGAAGCTCCAGCTACACGAATGATATTCACCGGTCTGACCACGTTTGACCACTTTCAAGCTCCTCGTACTCAGTACGACGTACTGCGCACATAATCACTCCATCCCTCCTAAACATCGATGTCGGCA